GGGGTCCCGGCCGGTGGTCGTGGAGAACGGGGGTCGGGGGAATGGCGGGTGCCTGCGGCCTGAGGGGCCCTTTCAGCCTAGGGAAGGCGAGGCAGTAGCAGTGAGCGCCTGATGTTAAATGCTCTGCCGGAGGAGAAGCGTGCCCTTCTCCCCCCGCTTCTCTTTTCCTCAGCAGGTAGCGAAGGGAGGGGGCTCGCGCCTTGTGGTGAGAAGGGCGGCGGCGGCCGGCTCTCCGCCTCGGCCCCCCTATCCCCAGGCAGGCCGGCTGGCTCGCTGCTGTGGCGGGGAGAGGTAGGTCTGCGACCTTCTCCTTTGTGTTTGCTTCTCGGTTTTAGCTGGTTTTTGGGGGGGTTGTTTGTTTTGTTTTTTTTCTTTAATGGAGTGTCGTTCTCCGGGGAACGGCCCAGCTAGAGCCCCGGGCGGCCGCAGCCGCCTCGGTAGAAGCGCAGCCGCGGCCGGGCCCGCACAAACCGCCGTGCTCGTTCGCGCCCTACCAGGCTGTGCGTCCCGCTGCCACCATTTTCACATGGCACGCCACACATGGGTTTCAGAAGATTTAAGTGGATGGGTGCCAGGCAGGGTTTGTGGGTAAAAATCCTGTACGAGCATTTACACCTTATACTGGCCCAAACGCAACCAGCCTAACATACTATCAAAATTCAAGTATAAGCAAGCATCAGAGTCCCTAAGGATAACATATAGAAAAGAAAGAAATGACTATACCGTTAAATATATTCCAATTTATACACAAAGAGCCAGCTAACCTTCATGGAAGTATTGATGAGACTCTCCTGTGAAATAGACTTGGGATCAGATCTGTAGTCATTTGTGCTTTTCAACACCTCTGTCAGTAAGTGCAGGGCATCTAAGAACGTAAAGGTGATCAGAGGTCTGGAGAAGACGGCATTTCGTATGTCAGAAATCACATGGGAATGAAAAAGCGCTGTTAAAATGACAAGCCTAGTGGTAGGACTCAAGAACATTCCCCAGAGCCCTTGGCAGAGGTCAAATGTTGTCTTACTAAAGTAAGCTCAAGTGGGTGTGCACAAAGTAAAGAAAAAGGGACATGCAAGTGAATTAAATCTATTACAGTAGACATAAAAAAAACTTCCTTGAGTTTCATTAGTATTTTATAACTTTCTGTCTGAGAAACCTTACACTGTCTCAGTCTCTTTTCCTCAGCTGATCGTACAGCATAGCCTCACCGTGCTTATTTTTAACATCGCATTAATTTCTGTTATAAGAGTTGATGATCTCACCGCAGGAAGATGAAGTAGAAAGTTTCTCATGGAAGATAAGTAGGAAAGACCAAAAAAAGTACTGGCTTAAAAACTACATTTTTATTTGAAGTTTTTTCTTACAGAACGACTCACCTGCTGATTTTCTGGGCTTTATGGAGAGTCTTCATTAAAAACATCTCGGGTCATTTTGGTTTGGTCTAGCTGGTAGGAGAAGTCTCCCGCTGAGTGGCAGGTTTGTGTGGAATCTTCTGAAATGTGGGATGTCCCAGGCCTGTGTGGGATGATTCTCTGTTAATATGTTGCTATATAAAGGGGGAAAATATTATCAATCATTTGTACATTTTTCTCCGATGAGGTGTTGGTATTTGCGTACATTTAGTCTTTTGATATCACAGGCTGCACATTTTTTTTTAATGATGCAGCAAAATGCATGTCTCCTTGAGAGCAGATGTGTGTTTTTGTGGCTTGAAAGAGCAATTGTTTACTTGACTGAAAAGTGATGCACAGTGCAGTGTATACACAGTGCAGTTATTACAGGCAGTGGTACAGAATGTCACAGTAGCAATTCTGAGTTCAGCATCATTAATGAGGAGTAAAACAGTCAAGTTATATACAGTTTCATTATCAACCTTTAATTAGAAGTCAGAAAATGAAAGTTATGTTTGAACTTTTGCTGTGAAATGGCTGCAGTTACAAAATGTACAATTATGTATGAATCTGCCTTGAACAAATTCTTACTATAAAGCTTGCTTTGTTAATAATGAGTTTCTGCTAAAAATAAATGAATGAATGAACAAAGTATCACTGGATCTGCCTTTGAATATATTTTCTCTTCACTGTTGTCTTTTTATATGGTAGGTTAGTATAGATTCCTTGCATACCTCTCTCCTTCCCGTTTCTCTAGAAATCTCTCTCTCAAACTGTTTTGCTCACTTGAGGCATTCCATGGGTGAAATCTTAGTTCTTTTTAGAGCAATGGCCACCTAAGAAAGTATATCTAGGATGAATCTGTCAGTCAGTTGTATGGGACACTTTCAACAATGTCAACTTCCTGAAATAATTTGTATACAGTTTTAAAGAGATTTTGTTACTGAAACAACTTTGATGAGAGAAAAATGTGTTTTCCTGTGTAATGTTTGCTATTGGTGCAGTTTTGAATATCTTCTTCTTTTGTCCCTCTCTTTAGCATTTCTAATCCTCCCATGAAGCTTTTGTTTTTTGATTATTGCAGCTTCTGGTTAAGAATGTAATAGTGATGGCACACATGTAGGATTATAGTCTAACTTAATCCCTGATGTCATCCCATGTATTTTCCCTTCTGTGTCCTCCCTATTCTCGCTCTCACTCTCTCACCCCTCCCCTCCTTATGGAAAGAATAACTTCCAGCTATTAGTTTAATTGGTAGATGGGTTTAACATAGCATTTTAAGAAGTTCTGACCACCTCCATCCACTTATTTCTCTCCTTCCTATTTTGTCCCCTTCCTTTCCTGTAGTTTCCATCTCCTCAGTTCAGATACCATCACTGAACAATTCATTGGCACAATTGAACATACATTTTTTTTCCAGCTGTAGTAGATGCTCTTTTGGAGATTCCCAATGTTGTTAGTAACTGCTTGTTCCCCCACTCCCCACGAAAAGGTTGCTCTACTACTCGCTTGTGACAGGTGGAAAATGAACTTTGTGCAGCTATACTGTAAAATAAGTGCAAACCCTTTTCGTAACGCAGGGAGCAACTTTTGCTTGTTTGGTTGGTTGATTTTTCAAAACAGTTATTGGATATGCTTACAGGAGGCTTCTGCCAGGCCCTTTCAGTCCTGTCCTCCCCCACCTTTTAAGAGTTTAGTTTCTGCTGAAGATACGTTTCTGTCATCAGATACACAGACACTAATACATATTAAGTAATGTTTTCAGTCTCAGCATTTAGATGTTTTTTAAAAATTCAAGAAGAAAAAAAGATGCATTGCCTTCCTTGGATGACGTCTTGCATGTGATCTTCTCCGCACCAATTTTTTAACTCAGAAATTGTTAGGACCCAGAATATATCTACAAAATATAAGGTCTGGGGAACCATAGCAATCAGACAGTTTCTACTGTAAGTTAAATGTAAAAGTTACATACACAGGCACTGGGCAGTTTATAATTCAGTTACTAGACTAGTAAAATGTATTTTTGGTTACTGGAAAACTAAATAGATAGGGCAAAAGAACAAGTAACCCTGTGGCACAGTCAAAAGATCTTTAAAATGATTCAGTACCAGCTCTGTTGAAGCACTTGTCATTATTCAAAGTAATGTTGATTTTCAGTTACATTCAAAGCAATAAGCAGAGGGTTGCATGACTTGATGGGAAACAATTTAAGACTTGAAAGAGAATATTTGAAATAGTTATAAGGCAGAATGCATGCAGACTGTATGCTGAATGTAATAATGAAATTCTTTATTTAAATCTTTCGTAGAATTCATTGGAGTACTGAGGGACTATTATCAGGCTTCCTCTGTAAGGTTTTTGCATACATACGACATTTACCAAGCAGTGGAAGAAACCAAGCATTCAAAATTCCTGGCTGTTTATTGTGGGGATATGCACATTTCACAGCTGTTCTTGTAGGGGTTAATACAGACTAGAAGGTTTCTGGTAGAGCTAGGTAACTGCAGAATCAGTGACATTTAGTTTTTCCCTTTACCTCATTTACTTTTAATAGTGCAAAAATCTGTAAGGTATAGTAGGAATTATGCATATACGATGCATTTTGGTGGGGATTAGCACCCACAAATCTTTTCGGTGCTCTCCAGCAGTAGAATTGCATGAGTTCTTCTGGTTCAGATCCATTGCATCCTCAGCAGGGAAATGGTTAGACTGTCTGTTGAATAGCTGTGGGTACGGCGAACTGAAAAATCTGTGTTCCAATGCTCTCCCAGAAATCTAGATTTCCAAGTAAATGCAATCTTTTGTAGAAAACTTCTGTTTTAACACAGATTTGTTAATTGACCAAACAGTTGAAAACAGAATGCTCCCCACTTCCTAGATGTTTATTTTCACTGTTTTGGTTCTTAGTTTTTGGGGGGGTTTAAGTCTTTTAGAAATAAGGTAAGCACTAGAATATTGTGTTTTATGTTTAGAATGTGTTTATAAGAAGATTTTTTAAATCGCTATGGGATAGTATCCACTCTTATACAGTAACATTTTAAGCACTAGAGTGCTCTGAACAGTGTCCAAAGATCAGCTTGTTAAATAAGAAATAAGGAGAAGATACTGGCATTATTTCGATCAATCCCATTTAGATAA